GAAGCATCCATGCTCATCGCTTTATTTAATTGAAGCGCAATTTAATTTCTTTCTTAATCATTGGAGTTAATTTGTTTCCGTTTTGATTTTTTTTTATTTTTATTGAGGTTTTGCAGATGGTGCCAAGATTTTGATCGGGAAACAGGAAACCAGCAAAGGGTTTGTCTATGGTGTTCTTAATCGGTGCCAGTTTCAGTTTCCAAAAATAGATAAGGTAGACCCAAATGCATTCAAGGAATCAAAGGATGCTTAAATTAGGATTCCGAATAACAGTTACTGGCTTTTTCGACCATACCTCTCAGTGCTGCTACGTATATACAGTTCGGCGAAGGAGCATATTCTTAAAACCAGTCCATAGGCAGTCTTTGCCACCGTGGTGAAGATAACTTAAATAATGCCATTGAAAGTACACAAGGTTGACTCCTTTAGTAAAAATGCTTCTTCAACGAACAAATCAGCCTAGAACCATGTCCATGGATGAATTTTTAGAAATGATTGTTGTTGAATTATTTCACCAACTTCATCATAAAAAAGTGGCTTAATGATGAACTATTCAAGGTGGATACGATTTTCTCAAGCATTTTGCTTGATTTAATTTGTTACTATTCGAGAATCAACTTCCTAATTAATGAACACAGAAGGATGTGGAGTTGCTTTGCCAGCCTGGAATAATTAGTAATTTTTTGGGTGATAATGCAACAGTTGTGACCTCTGTTTAACAGGCTTGGATATAATGTAAGCTTCTCTAAAGAAAACGTTCTTTTATGAAGAGTTATTTAACGATATCAACAGGCTTTACGTACAGTCCACCTTAGATCGAAAGCATGGCAAATTTAAGGCACCATTACTCCAACAGTCCATGGTCATTCATCTCTTTCCTTGTTGCGGTCTTGTTGCTTCTCCTTACCCTTCTACAAACAATATTCACAATCTTCCTTCGGTCTTGAAAGTGCAGGAAACCAAAATCTTTCATCCATGGATTTGGCTCTTCAGCATATATATGAATGATGCAATGACTCCTTAATTATGTCCAGAATGTGTGATTTGTTGAGCTAGTGTTTGTAATTGTTGGTCTGAGTGCATAAGACTCTTTGTTGATTGTACAAATTGGTGTTGGATGTTGATGCTGTTGTGTATGTAACTGGCATGTGAGCGCCCTGCTAAGGGTTGGTCTTTCCCCACCATTTTTGTTGTTTGCGTGGATTTTTCTATTGCTTACAATATCTGTCTTCTGAGTTAAGAGTACCACATCTTAATTCTAAGGCTTGGATTTATGGTTTTTTTTTTTTTTTTAACATTGAGGAATATGGGAGAATAAGAGATTTTTTTAAGTAGTTGATAGGAGTCGAACTTCCAATTAATTAAACCCAAATATTAAAGTTTGGGGATGAATAACTGGATCAAAAGGCTCTGTTCTTAGATTTTATGGTTTTTTTTTTAATGTTCAATAAATTTTAATCAAAGTATTTGGTATGTTAATTTGAATCCTTAATATTAATTTAAAGGAAGAAGATATTTTAAGGTCATTGTGTAAATCAATTAAGTTAGGATATTGATCGACATATGTTATGATTTAATATGTTGTATAACATATTTATTAAAAAATTATTATTTTTAATTTAAAATTAAAAATAAATAAAGTTAAAAATACAATAATGAATTCATAATATAAAAATTGTTTGGATCAAATTATACTTATTTACTTATATTATACTTTAATAATTAAATAGAATGAGAATAAAAAAAATATTATATCAAATGTATATCTATTATTTTTTTTATTAAATTAAGCTTTAAATTAGCACTAATAATGATTAGTGACTTATTTTGGCTGAATTGGTTGTTAGAAGTTTCTATCGTTGGAGACAATGTAGTGCTTTTCCTTTGGGCTACCTGCCTTCATTGGAGTTGAAGGCGAATTGAGATTGAGATCGATGGACATTGATGTGGATCAACTTGTCGAAGAACTCCTTTATTTAGGTAAGCAACTTGCGGAAAACTTTGGAGTTTGGACCTAGTCTTCCCTACCCTACCAATAAAGACATTTAATTTGAGGCGTATTTGTTTTCCTACGTAAAGCTGGAATCCACAAAGACACATCGCGATAGCTACGTTCAATAAGATATATCACTCTGATTTTATATTAAAATTAATTTTATTTTTAAATAAAAATTGTTAATGTTAATTTTATAATAAATAATTGATATATTATTTGATTTAATACATTTATCTATCGCCGCATCTTCTTCTAGTTCTTCATAAGTATTCTTCATCACCGTGGTAAAGATCACTTAATGGCATTGGAAGTACACAAGGTTAATTCGTTTATTAAAAATGCTTCTTCAACGGACAAATCATCGATCTTAGAACCATGTCCGTGGATGACTTTTTAGAAATGATTGTTGTTGAATTATTTCACCAACTTCGTCATAAAAAGTGGCTTAATGATGAATTATTCAAGATGGATATGATTTTCTCAAGGATAATGATTGGTGCACATTTAGATCAAATACTTGGATGTGCATCCCACATAAATAGAAAAAGATGGACCAAATGATGTGCATTTTTTTTTATATGATGTATGCACATCTGGGTGTTGGATTCGGGTGTACATACATTATTTTCCTTTTCTCAAGGATTTTACTCGTTTTAATTTGATACTATTCGAGAATCAACTTCCTAAAGCACACAGAAAAGAATGTGGAGTTGCTTTGCCAGCCTGGAATAATTAGAAATAATTAGTAATTTTTTGGGTGATAATGCAGCAGTTGCGATCCCTGTTTAACAGGCTTGGATATCATGTAATTTTCTCTCAAGAAAACGTTCTTTTATAAAGAGTTATTTAGTGATATCAACAAGGTATTACATACAGTTCACCTTGGATCAAAAGCATGGCAAAATGGGGCATCATTACTTCAACAATCCATGGTCATTCATCCTTTTCCTTGCTGCGCTCTTGTTGCACCTCCTTACCCCGCTACAGACAATATTTACAATCTTCCCTCGGTCTTGAAAGCGCAGAAAACCAAAATCTTTCATCCATGGATTTGGCTCTTCAGCATATATATGAATAATGCAATGACTCCATAATTATGTCCAGAATGTGTGATTTAGTTGAGCTAGTGTTTGTAATTGTTGATTGTATGTATGAGTGCATGACTATTTGTTAATTGTATAAATTGATGTTGGATGTTGACGCTATTGCGTATGTTACTGGCATGTGAGCGCCAGCTAAAAGGGTTTGTCTTTCCCCACCATATTTTGTTGTTTGCGTGGATTTTTCTAGAGTTTACAATAACTGTGTCTTGAGTTGAGAGTACCGTATCTTAATTCTAAGGCTTGGATTTATTGGTTTTGTATTTTTTCTTTTAGTGTTTAAGAAATTTTAATTAAATATTTTGTATGTTTGAATCCCTAATAATATTTCAAAGGATAAAGCGAATATATTTTAAGATTGTTGCATAAATTAATTAAATTAAAATATTAATGTGTATACACATATTA